CTGAGGTACCAAGTGCCTGGAAGGAATCGAATTAAACTGGTTTTCTCTTTGCTGGCAAGAGAAAGTCATTTGGAGAATTTCACCATGGTAGTCTATTCTAGCGGGATATTTATAGTTAAATTTGCTAATGCAATTAAAGGATACTTTAAGAGTTTCTGCTTCAATTTGACATTTGCCCTATTGATAGATTACCTTTTCCTGGCAATAAAGTAATGTTAGGAGGTCTAAGAACTGATACTGGTACTATCGATGACTGAGCGTGATGTCTTCACACTTCTTTTCTCTTTGCAAAGGGCTTTTCCTGCAGGAAATGTGTTTTTTGTTACTCTGCTCACATCAAAATCTGGGATTTCTCTTGCTGCAGTTTCCATCCTGTCTTTTTACTACAGGAGGTTGTCAAACCCCATCTTGGGTGATGAGTTATCTTTGTTTCCACTTTGTCTACGGGGCGGCCACAGCTTGGCCATGATGGACACTTTACTGCTGCCTCTGCCATCTCAAGGGTAGACTCTTGTAGCCTACAGTTAAAAACAGCTTAGTTATGGGGGAAAATGTGCAAAAGATGGGAGCTTTCCTCCTCAAATAGCAGCCTGAGCATGTTATTATACTGTACTCATGGATAGATGCTGGTGCTCAAGTAGAGTAGAAGGGATCGGATCTTCAACAAGTTGCTATTTCATGTCTGGTCAGGATCAGGAAAGGCTTTGGGAGAAGGTTATTGAAGTTATAACCCATCTTGGTTGCTATTTAATTGGCTACATTGCATTAGGATCAATTCAGATGTTTTTCAGTGGAAGACAGTAGATCTGAGTGGTGTGATGGGATGCGCTACGTTGTCGTGATGATCAGGAGGTCCCATCCCATTTCCAGATCTCCCAGGGTGCTGATCTGTAGAACACTCTGCAGGTCCCTCGTGTCAGGTAGTTGCTAAAGTGGGAAATTAGAAGAGCACTTGAGAATGAGTTTTTATTTGAGAGATAAAGGAGCTGCTCTGGAAAATCAGCTGAGTGCACAACCCTCTTCCCAACGCTGTAGTTGAAGGCGAGGAGTTTTCCTTGGATTGTGATTCGCATCTAGTCATCAAGTGTTTATTTTATATTTATAACTTAAAGATGCAATTAAATTATGCATGAAAAAATTGTCAAAAGACCCCATGTAATGCCTGTAGAGATGTCAGACTTTCACCCACTTAAAGAAGAAAATAACTGTGGTATCTGGAATAAGTTGCTATTTGTTGGTTATTTTCTTTCCGGTAACAACATCTGTCAGTAGAAGGAATTGATTTTGTTCCTACTTAGGTTGAACTTCATGTACTTTCACTTTTTTTTTCAAGTTGAGCTGCAGAACACAACTTTATTTCCAGAGCATGTTCCACATCAGCACTGACATGGGGATTCTTGGCTGATGCTCTAATTAGAGCTGAATTCTTTGCTCGGCTTCTTCAAAGGCAAGAAGAGATGTCTTCTGCCAGGGAAGAAAAAAAAAAAAATAAAAGGCATATAATTCTCTCCTCCTGATGCTCCAGAATAGCAAATAAAGGTGGTAACAGCATTGTTACGGAGCTGTGTTCCTCACTGTGATAAATAGGAATCAGTGGAGAAGAAAAATCAGAATTTAGCTCTGAATTCACAGAATGATATGGGATTGGAAAGGACCTCTGGAGATCATCTAGTCCAACCCCCTGCCAGAGCAGGGCCACCCACAGCAGGTTGCGCAGGAACGTGTCCAGGTGGGGTTTGAATGTCTCCAGAGAAGGAGACTCCACCAGGTCTCTGGGCAGCTTCTGCCAGGGCTCTGCCACCCTCAAAGGAAAGAAGTTCCTCCTCGTGTTGAGATGGAACTTCCTAGGTTCAAGTTTGTGCCCATTTCCTCTTGTCCTGTCCCTGGGCACCACTGAAAAAAGCCTGGCCCCATCCTCCTGACACCTACTCTTGAAGTATTTCTAGGCCTTGATCAGATCCCCCCTCAGTCTTCTTTTCTCCAGACTCAAAAGACCCAAGAAGTCCCTCAGCCTTTCCTCATCAGAGAGATGCTCCAGGCCCCTCCTCATCTTTGTAGCCCTCTGCTGTCCCCTCTCCAGCAGTTCCCTGTCCTTCTGGAACTGGGGAGCCCACAACTGGTCCCAGTGCTCCAGCTGGGGCCTCCCCAGGGCAGAGCAGAGGGGCAGGATGACCTCCCTCCACCTGCTGGTCACACTCTTCCTCATGCCCACCACGTTGGATTCTTGCAACTGCTCTGTTGACAGTCATCCCTAAAGCCCCATTTCTATGTTTCTTTGCCTTGTTCATTACCTGCTGCATTTATTAATGGGTTCACATTAAAAAAACATTCCTTTTTTGGACTCCTTCTCCAGACAGTGGCATTTTACCAAAAAAAAAGAGCACCAGAAGTGACCCTGTAAGTATTATTAATACACAATGCAATTCAAAAAACACTCTCTTTCACACGATAATATTAATGCTTTTTCACTTTTTTTCATTATATTTTGGGCTAAAGCAAACTCTCCTTCTGCGCTCGAACACCCTACCGTGGCAAATCGCCTTTTTCCCCTCTTATCTAAGGGGAGAGTCGAGCAATTATTTATTGCTCCAGTTAGCAGCAGCTCCAATTAACCACCTGAATTTTTTCAGGCTTTGAACAGAAAGCTGCAGCTCATGCAGCCTCAGCCCCAGCTTTGTTTTTTGCAAACGTTGCCTTGTTATAAATATAAACCATCCATCGGTCCCCTCAATCGTCGTAAATCATTGACGTTGTTTTTTTCATTCTTGGGGATGAGTGGACCTGATGGTTCTGTGGGGTTTTGACAGTCATTTCTAGAATCAGGTTCCTAGAGTTTAAAAAAAAAAATCACTCTTCAGGGTGACTTTTTTGGACTAATTTACAGAAAGCTGGAAAGGAATAGGCTGAAAACGTTGTCCCATGTCTAGGTGTCTTCTTCAGCGCGGTCACCAAGTTCACTGCGGGTGCCAGCGAATACCTGGTACATCTCAAAGTCCTAAAAATTCATCTGGGTAGACAAAAAAGTCTACCCAGAATGGTCTGTATTAACCCCTTGGCAGGTATCTTTCAAAACTCCTAACTAGGCACAAGAGCTGGGAAATGGGTAGAAGGAAGCGTTGGACTCAGTCTAGACTCTCCGTAGGGTTTTCTCTTTTCTTCACCAGAAACTCCTGAACGTTATTAAACCCTCAGCCAAATAATGACTTTTTGTCTCAATAAATAAATCTTCGGGTGAAATCTGGAGCGTTCTGAGAGTCAAGTTAGAAATTAAAAGTGGTCTGCTAATAATACAGTGGAAATAATATTAAAATATCTACTGCGTCTCCGTGAATACGGAATAATTTCCTTATGACTAATGATGTTACAGTGGGTACCGAGTGAATTAATGAGCGTACGCTACTTAGCGCAGGGAGTTATTAATGCCCCCGTCATTCATTTGGCAGGTTTTAAAAGTTTGGCTCTTATTTTGCAACAGAAGCACCCAAGTCACCTGAATATTAAACAAAATATGTCACCGTTTCTTCTGGACGGGAAATTAAGTCCCAAATCTGTGGGTGGAAAAGATATTAGGAACAAGATGCGATAAGCACTTAAAAGATTATTTACTCATTTCAGATTCCCTGTAACGGCATTAATCAACGCTGAGCTGATTTGGTGGGAATGGAGATGAAATAGGGAATTTTGCAGCAGCTCTTTGGCAACGTGACGTTAATAAATGCTTCTCCGCACGCAAACGTTTAGTTATTTTTCATTAATGAACTTTTGAGGAGGCAGTTCCCATTTTTGGCAGGTGTTTGAGCACCCGGTGGTTTTCAGCTGCGATTTTCCTCTGTATAAATAAAATTTAAAAAATAAAAAAATCACGACAAATGACCAGGGGTTAAACAATTCATGTGGGAAAAAAAAAAAAATCAGGAAAATGGATTGCTTTGGTTTTTTCTGAGGAAAATGTAGCTTTGCTGTGTTTAAATTTAGGGAGATAATTTAGAGGAATGGATTTCGAGCCCCACAGGAAACCAGGATGTTGCACCCAGAAGTTAATTCCTGTGTGTTACATGTTGTCTGTCGCGTCCTTCCTATTGAAACAGAGCGTGAGGAGTTCTCTGGGGAGCTAAAAAGTGGTGGAATGGCCATTATGGATGCAATTAGGAAATTAAGAGAGGGAGGCTTTTTGCTCAGCATCCAGCAAGCAATTTATTGGGGGTGCATGAGCTGCCCTGGGCTGGGTTGAGGAGCAGGAGAGCTGAGCACCTCATTTCTATGGATTTTGTGGATGGTGAACCTCAAGCATCTCCCCCATCGTTGCAGGATGGAAACGTGTCCTTGGGAGAAGCTCCATGGGGTTGGATGCCTCCCTTCCCGACGGAGCTCAGGTCAGGGGGGGACCATCCATCAGGGAGGCAGTGGTACCCCACAGCATCCCTCACCTCCCTGCAGATGGTTTAGAGACCTTCAGCTCACTGGTGATGAAGGTAGCACCAAGAGACCGAGATAAATAAAGCCTTTGGAAAGGAGACAACTCTGATGGGCACCAGTTGCGCTCATCACTTACGTTGCACGGGCGTTTGCTTAACTTCATTTTATTTTTCCTTGTTTTTCAGCAAAGCCCTCGTCCATTCTGCATCCCAGATCCACCTTTTAACAGCATGTGCATGCCTCCCTTCCCGACGGAGCTCAGGTCAGGGGGGGACCATCCATCAGGGAGGCAGTGGTACCCCACAGCATCCCTCACCTCCCTGCAGATGGTTTAGAGACCTTCAGCTCACTGGTGATGAAGGTAGCACCAAGAGACCGAGATAAATAAAGCCTTTGGAAAGGAGACAACTCTGATGGGCACCAGTTGCGCTCATCACTTACGTTGCACGGGCGTTTGCTTAACTTCATTTTATTTTTCCTTGTTTTTCAGCAAAGCCCTCGTCCATTCTGCATCCCAGATCCACCTTTTAACAGCATGTGCTTTATTTTGCCTTATTCTTTTTTTTTTTTTTCCCCTCCTGCAGAGCCGAATTCCCACTACGTGATTTCCTTAAAGGCCTTCAACAACGCCGGCGAAGGGGTGCCGCTCTACGAAAGCGCGACCACCAGGTCCATGACAGGTGAGTCCCTGGTTCACGATCCTACGAAGGGGCACCTCAAGCAAAGCATTTGGGTCAAGGCAATGGAAGAAAAGAGCTCAGCAACCTCCAGGTCCCTGCTTAGAATAAATCTGTTCCATGTTGCACTTTATTGTCGCTACACAGATAAGATGAATTATTTACCCTTTCCAGAAATTGGCTGTAGAGATTTAATGGGATGCTCACAACCGCTTGCCCTTTGGGGTGGGTTGGCTTAGGAGAAGCATGACTCCCAAACAATTTAAATATTTAAAGCTCAGGGCAGGATAGTGATGAATAACTTCCCTGAATTAAGCCCAGATGAATTTATTTTTTTTTCCTTTTCATTTTTAAAGCAGTTTAAATTAAAAGGAATTAGATATTTTTATTTCCTCTTTATTTTTAAAGCAGTTTAAATTAAAAGGAATTAGTTAAAACCACGCCATCATCATGCATATTTACAGAAGGACATAGAAAGGTTGCAAAAGGTCCAAGGAATATGCTGGTAAGATTTTCCTGGCAGGATAATGGAGAAGGATGCTTTTAGGCAGCTGGTTTTTTTCACAAATTCATCTTGGGACACTGGCAAAGTTAGAAAAATAAGAATTATTCTTATGTATTAGTCTTCCAGACTGCCTGGTGGTTTGCCCGCGACCACCCGGTGTGTGGTTGGGACCCACGAGGGGTTAAAAGAACAGAACTGGGAAAGAAAAACTAAAAACCAACTGTGTTTTTCCTCTGGAGTGACACCATCCTTTGGTGAAGGGTTTTTCCCTCGCGTTTCACCCATGGTGTTCAGAGCTGCCTGGAAAAGGGGAGCTGTGTCACTGAGAGCAAACCCCATCGCTGACGCTGGCTTGGGTGGACCACGAGGAATAAACCCACCAAATGGCACTTGGGTGGCTCTAGGAGGAAAAAACCACCTCTTATCCCCGGTGCTTTTGTGAAGTATTCCCATAAAAAATCTTGGAAAGTCAGAAGGAGAAAGGGGAAAAAAAAAAAAAGAGATTAATTGCACAATTAAGGGTAACCGTAACAAGCTACATCGGATATAATAAGTGTCAGGGAAGTTCTGGCTCAAAATTGTTAATCATTCTTCTTGTCTGGAGTCTATAGAGGTCGTTTGGGCTGAGTGTGTCTTGTAAAATCTTTTTCCGGTGAGTTTGCTTCAAAATGTAGAATATACTTTTATTTTTAAGGGTTTTTTTGTTCCCTGTGGATTCTATTTTAAAATGACCCGCTTGACCTGTGGGATTTGATTTTATGTCTGCTTATAACCTCTCGTAAACGAAATGATATTTGGGTGTGAAAAAGGTAATTCAGGCTTGGGCTCTGTTTTTGGGAACTGGTGATTGTCTGCAAGATGTCCACCTGCGAGATGTCCACGCCTGGAGCTTCCCACCAACCAAGGGATGCAGCCTCTGAAAGGAGCTGGGGGCTTGGGCCGTTCCTGGAGGAACATCTCAAAGAAGGAACTGTGTTTTCCACTCAGCAGCAGCCCCATCCACCCAGGCCACCAAAAAACCCCAAAAATCTGTTTTTTTGTGTCACTTTGGCCTATAAATAGCTATACTTTGGCATCTGCTGGTGTGGATAGGGTGTGCAAACTGGAGTTATGCAACGTGCGATACTCGCAAAGCAATTCCAAAGAGACTGAGAAACTATTTTCTGTCCCAAAATTGCAATTTCCAAGTGACAGATGTCCACACGTAAATCACGGCAAATGAAACTGTGGTGGGAAATGGAAGCTGTATTTAGGGCCCTATTTTCAGCCCCCGCTGGATTATAGACATTTCCCTCTTCCTCAGGTCAACGGTGACGTGGTTGAGAAACTAAATTATCTTGATGGATCACGTCTGACCATTTGTTTTGCTAAACCCAGCCTTTTTCCATAATCTCCTCTCCAGCAGGACTTGGGGTTTCGGTTTGGGAAAGAAAAGGAGGAAAGAAATGCATTATTTGTTAATGCCATGATGAGCCATCATCACTTTGTAAAATAAATAAAAAAGCAACAGAAACGGGCTCACTTTCCAAAGTTTACAGCTAATTGTTTTGGAAAACTGCAGTTTGGGAGAAGAAACTGTTCACTTTCCACTCGCAGAAGTTGGATTCACGGTTTTGGAAAACTTCAGTTCAGGAGAAGAAACTCTTCACTTTCCACTCGCAGAAGTTGGATTCACCAGGATGGGGCAAAAAAAAGAGATTTAACTCCCCATCTCTTCCCATGTGGATGGTGCTTTGGGGTTTTGGATCCCTACAGATTCACATGGGGTTGGAAGGGACCTCTGGAGATCATCTAGTCCAACCCCCTGCCAAAGCAGGTCCTCCTAGAGCAGGTTGCACAGGGACTTCTCCAGGTGGGTTTTGAATGTCTCCAGAGAAGGAGACTCCTATGAGTCGCTTCATTTCCTTCAACGCTCATGTTCAGACTTCTCATCAAGCAGATTTTGATGGAAGGAGAGAAGAGAAGCAGCAGGTGGAAGCTAACACCATATCAAACATTTCCAACAGCCTCATCTCCTCTGCTTTTTTCCTTCTCGATGCTGTGACCTCCTGAAGCTCTGAATCAGAAATTACCAACCCGTAAACCAGGGAGTGATCAAAGAGTGTCAAGAGCTTGACGTGGAGCAGACAAACTGTGGCAGCTGTCAGTGAGGAAGTAGTAGAGTCGTTTCTGCTTTGATTAATTAATTAGCACAGTATTTTAGGGGGAAAAGAGCCCCGAGCATGAGTCGCTTCATTTCCTTCAACGCTCATGTTCAGACTTCTCATCAAGCAGATTTTGATGGAAGGAGAGAAGAGAAGCAGCAGGTGGAAGCTAACACCATATCAAACATTTCAAACAGCCTCATCTCCTCTGCTTTTTTCCTTCTCGATGCTGTGACCTCCTGAAGCTCTGAATCAGAAATTACCAACCCGTAAACCAGGGAGTGATCAAAGAGTGTCAAGAGCTTGACGTGGAGCAGACAAACTGTGGCAGCTGTCAGTGAGGAAGTAGTAGAGTCGTTTCTGCTTTGATTAATTAATTAGCACAGTATTTTAGGGGGAAAAGAGCCCCGAGCAACCTTTGGGCGTGCTTCACCCGCAGCATTTGGAAATTGGGTTTAGAACAATCCCAACTGGTGAATAACGAGTCAGTAAGTATCGTTTTGTAAGATAGACTAGAAGTTGACCTGGTGCTTCAACAAGGACAGGGGGCTTTAAACCAACTGGTGGATGGAGTCACCATCCGTGGAGGGATTTAAAAGCCAGGCAGATGTGGTGCTGAGGGACATGGGTTAGTGGTGGGTTTGTCAGTGGTGGGTTGATGGTTGGACTCAATGATCTGAACGATCCCTTCCAACCTGGACAACTCTATGATTCTATGGGAGAAGAACTCTGCTTGTTCCTTGAGGAGGAAGCCCACTTGAAGATAATCCACATCTCCACGCCTGGACGTGCCCATTTATCACGCTGATGGTATCAAACCAACAATTGCAAGATCTTCATTTCGGCAGGGAGACTGTTGTCTTCTATTTTCCCTGACAAACATTTCAGCAGGTGCAGAATATGTTCCTTTCAAGAGCCTAAAACAACAAAAGAGCCTGAAAGAGGCTGGTGAGAGAGAAAAGCAGAGCTAACTCCTAGTAGGAAAGGTTGGAAAATGGCATCTTCTAGACATCAGGTTGGAAAATGACACTTTCTCCACTTTGTGGGTGTTTCCAATAATGTCTCGTTGAAGTGGTTAAATTTTGTAAAGAAAATACAAATTGTTTTAAAGAGAGACTGTGCATTGACCTGGTCTCGTGTGAAGGAAACACGGCGTACCTGGAAGTATTTTAAAAAGTGGTGTAAAATATCATTTAGGGCTGGTTGGTTTTGTTTGTAGTGATGTAACTGAACTGTTGCTGATGCGTTCTCATTTTGCATTAATGCCTTTCTTTCTGTTCTCCTCATGTTCCTCCTCCTCATTAATGCCATGCATTTAACCCATCGTGATGTGTGCCCCTTGGTGGCTGTTTGGTTTTTTTTTTTTGGTTTGGTTTGTGTTGGTTTGTTGTTTGGTTTTTTTTCTGTTTAACTTACCTTATTCATTTCTTTTGGAATGCTCATTTTGGTGATGTATGGACCCAGACCCCATTGATCCATTAGAAGTTGATTTTTATCCTTTGCTTGATGATTTCCCTACCTCAGTCCCAGATATCTCCACCCCCATGCTCCCACCAGTAGGTGTCCAGGCTGTTACACTTACTCATGACGCAGTGAGGGTCATCTGGGCAGACAACTCTGTCCCAAAGAACCAAAAGACAACGGAGGTTCGCTTCTACACGGTCCGATGGAGAACGAGCTATTCGACAAGTGCTAAGTACAAGGTGACATTTTAACACGTTACGGATTTCTGAGCTATTTCATCTGTTTCTATTTTATTCACAAAGATTCTGAATTGACTTCTAGGAACTTCCCTCCACGAAAAGTCCCATTTCCATCAGAAGGAGACTTGCTTGAGTAACTGTTGCTTCCTAGAAACCCGTGCGGTCGGTTGTATTTTAATTCCACGTGATCTTTGATCTTTACCAATGAGACAGAAATTAGTCATAGATTTGGGAGTAGAATAGTGTAGCATGAACGGAAAGAAATGGACCTGTTGAAGGAAGGACGTGGACCTGTTGGAACAGGTCCAGCAGAAGGCCACAGAAATGATCAGAGAGCTGGAGCATCTCTCCTATGAAGACAGGCTAAGAAAGTTGGGGTTGTTCCACCTGGAGAAGAGAAGGCTCAGGGGAGACCTTGGAGCCCCTTCCAGTCCCTCAGGGGGGCTACAAGGGAGATAGGGAGGGACTCTTGATCAGGAAATGTAGTGATGGGATGAAGGGTAATGGTTTTAGACTGGAAGAGGGGAGATTGAAATGAGATGTGGGAAAGAACTTCTTTGGTGTGAGCGTGGTGAGACCTTGGCCCAGGTTGCCCAGAGAAGCTGTGGCTGCCCATCCCTGGAGGGGTTCAAGGCCAGGTTGGACCTTCAGTCCCTTTTCTGAGTGGTTTTTTTCCACTTTTCCCCTCCGTCAGAATTTGGCTCAGTAGCATTTGGCCGAGTCCTTGTGCTGCCATGGACGTGATTTGTGTTGAATGCCCTACCTTGATCTGACTCCCTATTTCCACATGGATTTCCACGTCCAACAAAATGAGGAGTGTAGCACAGGGAAGCACCACGAGTCCCAGTTTACGGCTCTAGTGAGGAAATCAAAGCTCCAGAAAAAAGACAGCATTATGTTTTGCCACTGGAGGAGCAGGAGACCGAGGAGGAGAGGAGCAAGAGTGAAATTACCCTTTTTTTTTTGGCCACCATCTCTAGTTTGACCAGTCTGTAGGTAGCACAGAAAGAGCTGGTCCAGTTCATTTCTCCTAGTTCAATCACCCAAAAGTAGAAACAATAAAAAAGCTTTCTTGAAATAACCACGTTTTTCAAAGAAAGAAGATTAAACCCATTATGTTGTTCTTTGAAAACAGTGAGGGAAGACCTCTTTTCTTCAGAGGGGTTTGGATCGGGCTCCCAAAGCACCTGGCTCTGCGTTGGGGTTGAATTTCGAAGTCTTTTGAGATTTTTTTCCATTGAAGTCTCCCGTGGCTTAAAAAATCTGTATCAAATCTAATATAATGAAGGCTTTAGCCTTTCCCATTGAAGCTGGGCTCCCAAAGCACCTGGCTCTGTGTTGGCATTAAATTTCTAAGTCTTTTGAGATTTTTCCCATTGAAGTCTCCCGTGGCTTAAAAAATCTGTATCAAATCTAAAATAATGAAGGTTTTAGCCTTTCCCATTGAAGCTGGAAGTTTGGAAATTTAACTTTGCCCCCCCCAGCTTTGTACAGAGAGTCCCAAACAGGCATGGTGTGGCATCACTAAAGGTGCTTGAGACAGTTACACCCCCTTCATCTCGCTGGGGTATTAACTTCAAGGATGCTGGGGACTATTGAAATGCTAATATTTTAGTATCGAGCGAAAGAGTCAAAGGAAAACACTCAGCTGGAAACAAATAACTTTCTATTTACAAAAAAGAACCCAATGTCTTTATGTTCCACTAAAGACTTATTTTGTCCAGGAATAGGTTCAAACCCTATTGTTTCTGCCATGTGTATTTTTCCTGATCATGTGTAATATTTGAGGTCTTCCATAGTAATATTTATCAGATTTAGTTACCCTCCGTCATGCTGAGGAGGTGTTTTATGCCATAAATCATTTCATTTCTTCCAAAAGCTTTTCTGAGGGAGAAAATTATTATTCCTGATATTGAAATACAGCCTTTAGTCAAAGAATAATTTGTATGAACTCAAGGAGGTAGATTTTGGGAAGTGGGCGAGTCATTTTGGGTGAGTAGTTTATGAAGATATCGGTTATAAGGGCTCTTTTTCCTTCAGTGAGACTTTTTATAGAGGGAGATTCTCTGTTGGAGTAAACCTCTAGTACAGAGAAGTTGCAAAACTGCTTATTTCCAAGAAGGATGAGTTTTAATTAAATATGAAGATGATAAAATCGGGTATTGCATTAAGTCTTCCTGTTAAGTAGAATGCAAAACATCTGTCCAAGCACTCCTGATAAAACAGTTTACTGCGGAGACATATAGAGCCCATTTATTAATGTCTCTGCAAAATAAATTTCTCCCACTCCTCCTTGAATATTACTGCTTTATTCTGTGGTGTGCTGGAAACTTGATATCCTATTTTTAGTAAAAGTAGATTTCTTTTTCAGTCGCCTGATGATTAGTGTCAGAATGGCATTACCGGTGGATGCCTCCTTGTGAACTGCTTCCCAAATCACAGCATCACAGAATGATACAGGGTTGGAAGGGACCTCTGGAGATCATCTAGTCCAACCCCCTGGCAAAGAAGGGCCACCCAGAGCAGGTCCCACAGGAACGTGCCCAGGTGGGGCTGGAATGTCTCCAGAGAAGGAGACTCCACCACCTCTCTGGGCAGCCTCTGCCAGGGCTCTGCCACCCCCAAAAATGAAGAAGTTCCTCCTCATGTTGAGGTGGAACTTCTTATGGTCAAGTTTGTGCCCATTTCCTCTTGTCCTGTCCCTGGGCACCACTGAAAAAAGCCTGGCCCCATCCTCCTGACACCCACCCTTCAAGTATTTATAGGCCTTGATCAGATCCCCCCTCAGTCTTCTCCAGACTCAAAAGACCTAAGTCTTTTGAGCCTTTCCACATCAGAGAGATGCTCCAGGCCCCTCCTCATCTTTGTAGCCCTCTGCTGTCCCCTCTCCAGCAGTTCCCTGTCCTTCTGGAACTGGGGAGCCCAGAACTGGTCCCAGTGCTCCAGCTGGGGCCTCCCCAGGGCAGAGCAGAGGGGCAGGATGACCTCCCTCCACCTGCTGGTCCCACTCTTCCTGATGCCCCCCAAGATGCCATTGGCCTTCTTGGCCACAAGGGCCCATTGCTGGCTCATGGTCACTCTGTTGTCCACCAGGATTCCCAGGTCTTTCTCCTCAGAGCTTCTCTCCAGCAGGTCACCCCCCACCCTGTCCTGGTCCATGGGGTTCTTCCTCCCCAGGCGCAGCACCCTACATTTGCTTTTGTTGAAGTTCATCAGGCAAATGTGAATATCAAGGTAGAAAGTCGTATTATGTTGTCCTTCCTCAGTACACTTTAGATCTATAGATGCATAAACACGTAAAAGCCCCTTTAACTGACTTGAATTGTTGATGCTGGAGGATTGCACACCAGGTTCTGTGGCTTGAAAAGCGTGGTGATTGATTTTATTCAGTTGTCACCAATTTGTCCCATCATTTTCTCCTCGCTCGTCTCCTTCGATACCAGCGCCGTTTGGCTCAAATCGGTCCTTAACTGCAGGAGGAGGCGAAATCAGCCCAAAAGAAAAGGACAATTTTAATATTCGCATCAACATTAATCTGTTTGGTCGGTCGTGACGTGTCACGGGGAGGCAAATCAATAGCATGTTTCCAATAAAATCTAATATACAAACATCTTCCATTTCACCAAGCAGAAGTGTGGTTTATGAACACGCTCTTTTCTCTTTGCAGTCGGCAGATACCACCGCCCTGAGTCACACCGTGACGGGCCTGAAGCCCAACACCATGTACGAGTTCTCCGTCATGGTCACCAAAGGTCGGAGGTCCAGCACCTGGAGCATGACGGCCCACGCCACCACCTATGAAGCAGGTACGGGGAGAGCTGCTGAAAAGGCTTTTTTTAGGGTTTTTTATTTGTCATCAAAAGCTTTGATGGAGATCAGCCAACAGCGTAGGTGTAAAATGGTGTTATTTCTCCACTTTTTTTCACGGGTAGCAAAGCAGAGCAGTCACTCTGCTGAGCTCTGGTGGCATTGTAAGATGGTAGGAGATGGTTGTGCCTGTGTGTCATAATTTGCCCCATAATATAATGAATATCTGTGATTTTTAATGCTAGTAATTTCAAATATTTTTCACTTGTCAAAAGAAACCCAAGAGCAGATGGGAACAATTATACTCTGCTCTGGTGAGACCCCACCTGGAGTACTGTGTCCAGCTTTGGAGTCCTCAAGACAGGAAGGACATGGACCTGTTGGAATGGGTCCAGCGGAGGGCCACAAAGATGATCAGAGGGCTGGAGCCCCTCTCCTAGGAAGGCAGGCTGAGAGAGTTGGGGGGCTTCAGCCTGGAGAAAAGAAGGCTCTGGGGAGACCTTAGAGCCCCTTCCAGTCCCTCAAGGGGCTCCAGGAGAGATGGGGAGGGACCCTGGATCAGGGAGGGGAGCCATAGGACAAGGGAGAAGGGTGAGGAATCTCTCCACTGAAAGAGGAGAGATTGGGATGAGATGTGGGAAGAACTTCTTTGGTGTGAGGGTGGTGAGAGCCTGGCCCAGGTTGCCCAGAGAAGCTGTGGTTGCCCCATCCCTGGAGGGGTTCATGACCAGGCTGGAAGGGGCTTTGAGCAACCTGGTCTGGTGGGACCTGGTCCCTTCCTGGTCCCTTCCAATCCAAACCATTCAATGATTCTATAACAATGATTTTGGTACTTTATGATGGAGTCCTACCTGGTTTTGTCTCAAGTTCATGACTTCCCATCTTACCCACTTAGTAAAAAGGAGTCAGTGACTGCTTCTAATGCACGTCCTTCTTGAGTCAAGGTCTTGACTCACAGGTCTCCTCAAAATACTGTGTGGACATATTTTAGCTGTTCGCTGTGTGGGTTCACCCAAGTTGGAATTTGAGAGACTGAAATGAGGTGCACAAAGTTACAGGAACAGAAAAAGGTGGGGAAAATTTAAAAAAAAAAGCCAAGTGAGCAGGCTTTCCAGCTTGCGTTGTATTTATTGTGAAGACACCACTGTCTACCCTGTGCAAAATGTTGGTTTTATACATCTGTGTTCCATTTCCAGCAAGCAGCCGTCGTGAAGATTAACAATATGCTTGGAATAAACAAATAAGTCTTTGAAGGCTTAATTTAGCTGCTCTTCTTAAGCGGTTGAGTGGCATTTTCCAAACAGGCCGCTGTGACCTGAAAGACACTTCAGCTTCTGAAAGGGGGGCTAAATGCTCTTTTGATAACGGGCACCAGCGACGGATTATAGGGAACCTTGGTTCAGTGGGATAAAAGGGCTGGAGACGTAGTCATCTCTGCAGAAAAGAACATCCTCTCCAAAACTTAATTGTTTCTTTTTTTGTGTGCCTTCAATTAACCGCGGGAGGGAAATAGTAGGCCTGGGCTTTGCTTCTGGTGATCGCGTAGGCCTCAATGGAAGCACGTATCCTAATCGCTGGGTTGTCTTCAAACAAGGGTAGGGTCTGCCATTAAATTAGCATTTCTTTTAGAATTATAACACACACCCCCCCTTTTGAAAACCCCAGTTTGCTTTGAAATTATTCCACTGAACTGCATGAGGCTGCGTAGCACAGAACTGGATTTTCCACCAGTGCGTCGATTTCTTGCTGCTGTCCTCCGTCCACAGATCAGAAATGTCTATGATTTGGCTTAAAATATTCATCTTTTTCATCTCTTGGGGGCAGCAACATATATTTGGCCAACAATGTGCCATTACCCATGCTTTATTTTCCTGAGGGTGACTGCTGGCCTTGAGAACATCCCAGGTGCCATTACAAATCACTTTCTACCAGCAGATACCCAATGAAGTCTCCTGGTCAATATTGATTTGTTGGGTTGGTTCTTTTTTTTTTTTTAAAATGAAATCCACAGTACACGCCAGTTAATTAACAAAGGGAAAATAAGAAGGAATATACGTGTCCTTAGATTTTTTCCCATGTGATCGCAATGCAATTATCTGAGCTTGATGGAGCAGCTCTGTTAATTAAGGGCATCCCGCGCTGCTGATCTTTATTGCCTGTTTTCGTACCCATTCCGCGTGTTGAATTTCCTGTAATGATATTAAAGAACGTAGATATCAGCATCGATACAGAATCCACTGGAGATTAGTGCTGTGGCTGGGGAGAGCTGTTAGGCCCATAATTCAAAAGCGACTCTGGGAGCCAAGTTCCCTCCCCAGATCTGCCTACACAAGTCCTGCCGCTACGAGGGGTGTTAATGAGCACTGAAGGAAACATCTAAAGCTTTGGTTTTTTCTGGTGGTATCTCATGTTCACAATCTGCTGAAAGCAGAGCTCAACTTGAGCCACTCGGTGGGACTCAACGTGGGATCACCGGTGTGGAAAAGCCCATGGTACAGGAGCGGACTTAGAAGCTCTACTGATTTAACTTCACAGAATCCCAGAATGATATGGGGTTGGAAGGGACCTCTGGAGATCATCTCCTCCAACCCCCTGCCAAAGCAAGCCCACCCAGAGCAGGTCCCACAGGAACGTGTCCAGGTGGGGTTGGAATGTCTCCAGAGAAGGAGACTCCACCACCTCTCTGGGCAGCCTCTGCCAGGGCTCTGCCACCCTCAAAGGAAAGAAGTTCTTCTTCATGTTGAGGTGGAACTTCTGTTGTTCACGTTTGTGCCCATTTCCTCTTGTCCTGTCCCTGGGCACCACTGAAAAAAGACTGTTTTTCTTCTTGGTTGAGATCCTTGAATGTTCATCGCCCTGAAGATTCGTGTCTTTTTCTTCTTGGTTGAGATCATTGAATGTTCATCGCCCTGAAGATTCGTGTCCTGGCTTTAGATGGGGCCAGTTTAGCTCAGCACAATCCAACAGATTTTTAAAGCTTTACTTTCTAAAGTGACTTCAGAGCTTTTCGTTGAACATCCAAGCAAGTCATTTGGTGGCCATGTGGGTAGGACACAGATGATGGGATGCTCGTGCCCTGTGTTCTCCATGCTGTGGGGGGAATCTATACGCTCTAACTCATCAACACGCTGTATCAAAACCCAGTAAATTAACGACGACCTCAGCACCAATATATTATTCCTTGCTCTTAATTATTTTTTAATAACTTCCCATTTTTCCTTTCTCCTTCACGGTCTCAGGATGTGATTTTAAAACACCTGAGATGCTCCGCGAGAGGTCCTGGCCAGCACTAGTAAAGCAAGTTGCAAAATAGGCTCAGGAATCCATCCTTCCCTCTTTAATGTGGTGGAAATAGAAAAGCTAAGGATTTTCTGACCACGGTCTCAGGATGTGATTTTAAAACACTGAGATGCTCCACGAGAGGTCCTGGCAGGTTGCAAAACAGGCTCAGGAATCCAACCTTCCCTCTTTAATGCGGTGGAAATAGAAAAGCTAAGGATTTTCTGAGCGTCTACTTAATGAATATACATAATTATATTTGTTTTATGCTGGTGCTTACCTACAAACTTTCCTAATAGAGAAGCCCTGATATTGCTGTTATTAAATGTATAGGGCTCCCAGAGCTTGTTAGATCCCTACAAAATAGAGAAGCCCTGATATTATTGCTGTTATGAAATGTATAGGGCTCCCAGAGCTTGTTAGATGTTTCTTGGTGGTTTTTTAACTCGAAGGATCAATATTAGCAGGAGGAGGATAAATCCCAGCGTATCCACACGCGGTGGTTTTGTACAATTGCCACTATTAAAATACCACTTCGAGACAAATCATACGTTACGTGATTGAAATGCATCTATAAGGACCCTCATGTATGAAAGGATGTAAGAACACAGTAAAAGCCTACTGAGAGGTTGGTGCCTGCTACGGCATGTTAGGAACGCAAAAAAAAAGGGGAATAACCTCTGTTTTCTATTATTTTCACTGTTTTCAGCTCCAACCTCTGCTCCCAAGGATTTGACAGTCATCACGCGGGAAGGGAAGCCCCGGGCTGTCATTGTCAGCTGGCAGCCACCATTGGAAGCCAATGGAAAAATTACTGGTAAACATTTACATTATCCTGTATTTCCCATTTATTTATTTTTTTATTTATTTATTATTATTCCCATTCTGATCATTTGCTGCTTCCACTCCCTTTGTCTATTTCGTTTTTTTTTTAATCTTGAGTTCTGTTTGGTCTGAAGCTATTTTATTTTCTTCTCCTCTCATCAACCAACTTGGTCTAGGATTCAAGGCAATGGTGGAAATAGAGCAAGATTTAGAACTCAGGAGATGTAAATCATTTTTAATTGCTAAAAGCAGTAATATAAGTTTAAAAATGCAGCACTCTAAGCAGAGGTTTTGTGGTACGTGTTGCTCAATGATAATTAGAAATGACTAATAATAAGTACTTTGTTTGGCAATAATGCAATCCATAATATACATAATGATAGGTTGCTCAGTGCAGCACGTAATGGGAGAATTTATTGGTAGATATTTAACTTTACAATAACAATTTAAGGCAATGATGATCAGGGTAAAAAAAAAAAAACCCTAATATTGACTGACAGGAACTGAACTTAATGGATGCTTCACAATGACAGATTTTATTTTCCAAAATATTGCATAGAACCTTAGTGCCTAATTAAGAAATCCATTACAAACCTTTAATGTTAATTTACTTTGAAAAATACAGTACATCTGAGATTTTGCATTTAAATGATGATTTTAGGCTGTTCGTAGACGTCTCAGAGGCTTATAATTATGGGGAGAAATATTGTTTGTCTTCAAAAATGGGCCCGTTACGGTCTCGTGGCTACCAACGGTTGGGTCAGACCAGTTCTACAATGTATTTTTACACCAGGAAATCATCCCATTTCATATTTCCAGCAAAATAAGGGTGTATTTCCATATGGACATCACCTGGGGATAACGGTTCCTGGGTGAGATTCGCGTAACGGTGTCTAATTTCACTCTGCATTATCATCAGGGCTTTACAATCCGTGACCGTGTCCGAAAGGAGGCTGTTTTGCTGAAATAGCTCAGTTTCCACTAACCCAATTTAGCCATTAGAGAAGAGAAACGAGCCTTCTGATGGACGAGGCACTGAAATAATGGTCCCGATTCCCCGGTGACTAAAAGCCAAAAGAAAATAAAAGCTTTCCTGACTTCCAGGGTGTCAATTGAGTCCCTGGCAGCAACTTTTATGGAGTTTTTCCATCAATAGCTGCATTCAGCCGGGGTCCCCTGACGTCCAGGCTTCGTTCTTGTAGCACTTGGTGGAAGAATGACTCTCGTAGGGATTATTTCTTTACTGCCTACGCGGTCAAATGTTTCTTAGAGGTATCAAGCAGAGGAAACAACTCCCTGGGGAGAGCAGGGATATCCCCAGCAACCAAATCTTCATCCCTACAAATGCTTGAGCGTTGTCTTTGTGTTGATTTGAGAAACATTTTCAGAACTTTATATCTGTTAATCCAAACGTCACACTCAGAGAAATTGCTTTAGTACATCCGAGGTACAAGCCTCTAAGTAAAATCTCGTGATATAGAACAAGGCAAAAAAAAATATAAAACAACCCAGAAAAACATACCACTTCTATCCAGGCACAAAGATGAAGTCCAGAAGACCCTCTTGGGCTCGATCCTTGAGCACGACACTTCAGACCAGTCTTAGAGTGGGTTTTCTGCATGTGACTAATTAGCCAGGGGGCCTTTCAGGAAAATAAAAAAAGATATTTTCAAAGTTAGGTAGAAAATGATGTTCCAGGGCATGCTACAGCCTTACTTACAGGCTTTTCTCTTCTTCCCAAAATTTTATTTACTGGCAAGCTAATTCCTACAAACTCTTACCATCTCCTAAAACTGGTACTTCTACTCTCTACGTTCTAAAATTCAGTTTTATTCAGTGGTAAGTAGCTACTGTAGTGCTCTTAAGTTACCAAAAAATTGTAATTCTTCATTCTTTTCCCCAAAATACTTTCCCCTTGTAGAAAACACATGCGAAGAAATACCTTATGGCTTCCCATAAGCACCCAGTAATTGATGTGGGTCGTTAACGCCCTTTAGTTTTATTTCAGCGCTGAAACGCTAAAGATTTAGATCATCTGGTTTATGGCAGCTCTCGGTCTAAATGGTGCACCTGAGTTTGAGAAATGTCCTTGTAGCAGCATTTTAATGTGTGCTACCTATTTTTATATTTGTTCAATCGTTATTTCTTCGAGTGAGTACCATCATTGTGGGTTTGGTCTAAAAATAGACAAATGTGTATTGTCATAGCATTCTTCAAGCTGTTTTGATAGAGACCTGCCATCCCTGCTGTGGAAAAGAAAACCCAGGTTTTGAAGAAATGTGAATTTTGTCTGTATTTTGTAATAGAATGTTAAAATTTGATGACAGCACTAACAGAGAGACTGTGTTTGTTCAGCTTACATCCTCTTCTACACGTTGGACAAGAACGCTCCCATCGACGACTGGATGATGGAGTCCATCAGCGGCGACCGCCTCACCCACCAGATCATGGACCTCAACTTGGACACCGTCTACTACTTCCGAATCCAGGCTCGCAACGCCAAGGGAGTGGGACCCCTCTCCGATCCCATTTTCTTCCGGACTCTGAAAGGTTTGGATCTGTATCATCTAGATATTAATGATAGATAGGATTTTCTAATGCCTCGGTGGGAGCTTTGCAATTAATTCCATGTCAGCCAGATGAGATCTTAGTACTTGAAACTATTAGTGAGAGATAAAAGCAAAATGCTACACACTGTAGTTGACAAAAGTAAACCACATAATGAGGCAGAAACTATATTTTTAAATTCAATCAAGTGGAGGAAAGCTCTCTTGACACCAGCTAACTTTCTACCATCGGTAAATAAAGCTAATTGGATTTGACTGGATTTCTCTAGGGAGGTCCCTTTTCATTTTGGATCCTCCGGTGACGGTAGGAACCCGTAATGACTCACTCCTATCAACGGAGCAGGCATGGAAAATTCTGATTAAAAACCTGAGCAAACTGAGACACAACTTGCCTTTGCGTGGGGGAAGTCGTGCCAAGTATTTTCTCAGTGTCTGTTATTAACAGACTAATTAATACCTGATCCTTCTCCCTTAGTGACCAGGGAAAAGGAGGAGGCAAAACAAGGGCACCCATGTTTTTTTTGGCTGATATTTCAGTGCTGATGTGTTTAAGAGAGCAAAAAAACCACGCTTGTATCAGACTCAATTTCAAATTAACATGGAGAGAGATTCCTCTTCTCTCTTCCCCGCTGCTTGACGTGATCTACCCAGAAATTACTCGTTAGGAAGATGTAAGCAATATTACCTTGAGTGGGAAGCGAGGTGCTCCGCTCCTTATATTTTTAACTGCCACTCATTCGTTTGCACAAAGGCATGAAATGACTTTTAAAAAGAGAGGTAATTAAGGAAAAACTCAAATGACATAAACAGCCAACCCGTTCCGGGAAAGAAGCGTGGTGTACGAGGGAGCACGTTACCGCCGCGGCCTCTCCAGAGAAAATCCAGGGATTTGGGTAGAAAAAGAACATCTTGGCAGAAGGTAATTGAAACTGGATGGGCCTGAAAAGTCACGACTGGAGGGAAATGAGGGAGATTGAGGCTCGGAATTAGCGTTCACACTCAACCTTCTTTTTAATCAGTTCTAAGTGACTTCGTTTCCCTCGAGCTGTAGAAAAGCCAAGCGGAACGACGGGGGAGAAGGGGCAACACCTCGTTCCCTTTGAGGGACCCGAGTGGTTGGTTGGCAAGAGGTTGTGTTTGAGTGGGTTTTTCTGCTGGGGGAACTCCCATTTCCCATTTTCAACCCTTGAGGAAGGCTCCGGATGAATGAGGCGGTGTCAGAGAGCTCACTCCCTTGGGTCTACTGGTACCAGTGTCTCTAAAACACACTCTCCACCAGTCTAGCTGAGAGGGAAAAGCCTCATCCAACGATTTTAATAAATTAGCGTGAGTCAGGAAAAAAAAAAGAGACATGATATCAATTTATCCTGAGCTTATCACTGCCTGCCCAGGTTTGTGGGACTTGGTTGTCCAAGTCGTGTTCCGCTTGGGATGAATGATTGGTGAGATCCTGATTATTCATTCGCCACGAAATGGGGCGAGATAGCGCTTTGCGGGTGCTTCATCTCCATCAGGCCGGTGGTGCCAACTTAATTTCATGCTCAGGGTTTGTGCCAAGCAGAGGAAGTCTATTAGATGGAGTTTCAAATGAGTCGAGGCATCAAAATATAATAAGCGCCGACTAATGAGATATGAAAAGATCCAGAGAGCCAGATAGGGAACTAAACCCAGAGATTAATGCACTTGATATCACCTACTTTGTAATGTTTACACAAAAGTACCATAAAACTCATTTGGGAAATGAATTCGAGATCAGACAGCATCAACAGATACCAAAAAGATGAATTTATACATTTGTTACATCTTGTAATAGCCTACAAGGACTATGTCTAATACCCTGCCATGAATACTTAATGATACCCACCCTAAATATGTCATGTTCAATACCATTCAACCAGTTTTATGACAAATCTATCCCTATGCTTGAGGTGAAAAGACTTTCTGAAGTCTTGAGTGCATTCTAAATTATGGAAAAAAAAAATAATGTTGGTTTCCTGCCCTTAATGATAATTAACAGACCAGTGTGTATGTGCCATACGGTGATGTGGGGCTCTGATGGCGAATCCCTGTCCTGATCAGGGGGAGTTTAACCCCACGAGGAATGGAACAAGCATCAAAGACCCAATAAGTTGCCCCCCACCAGTCTCCTTTCATATATTTTAGAGCATAAAAAGCTCCTCCAAGGAAAGCGAGATATTCTTTGTGTTGTGATCACAACATAAGTGTTTGTAGCCTTCTTGTGGCCAAGAAGGCCAATGGTGTCCTGGGGGGCATCAGGAAGAGTGGGACCAGCAGGTGGAGGGAGGTCATCCTGCCCCTCTGCTCTGCCCTGGGGAGGCCCCAGCTGGAGCACTGGGACCAGTTTGGGCTCCCCAGTTCCAGAAGGACAGGGAACTGCTGGAGAGGGGACAGCACAGGGCTACAAAGATGCTGAGGGGCCTGGAGCATCTCTCTGCTGAGGAAAGGCTGAGGGACTTGGGTCTTTTGAGTCTTTTGGAGAAGAGAAGGCTGAGGGGGGATCTGATCAAGGCCTCTAAATTCTTTAAGGGTGGGTGTCAGGAGGATGGGCCCAGGCTTTTTTCAGTGGTGCCCAGGGACAGGACAAGAGGGAATGGGCACAAACTTGACCATCAGAAGTTCCACCTCAACATGAGGAGGAACTTCTTTTGTGTGAGGGTGGCAGAGCCCTGGCAGAGGCTGCCCAGAGAGGTGGTGGAGTCTCCTTCTCTGGAGACATTCCAACCCCGCCTGGACAACATGTTCCTGTGGGACCTGCTCTGGGTGGCCCTGCTTTGGCAGGGGGTTGGAGGAGATGATCTCCAGAGGTCCCTTCCAACCCCATGTGATTCTGTAGTGACTTCCCTTCGTTAAAGGAAACCTTGTGATCTGTGAGAAGGAGCTGTGTTTAGCAGTAAATAACCCCACCACGGAGCAATGAGTTTATATTCTTCCACCTCAGCTCCCCTGATGATAATATACAAGCAAATAGGCAAATCCTGAGCTTGTGTTAATTGTCCTTACACCCAGAACTTCAATCACTCTGCGATGGTTTCCATCACTCGAGGAGCTGCTTTTTTATGCTCCTACAATGTTTTTATCACTTAAAGCGTGAAAAATCTGATACACACTCAGATTCCTGGGATAGAAGGATGGAATAGGATTGAACTTCCCACCTTTTCCTATTTTAATATCATTTAGGCCAAAATTTGAGGTCGTTACAAGGATTTTTCCTATTCCTACTCCATTCCTACTCCCCCCCCTTCTTCTAAAAGAAGCAAATCTCAGAGCTGTGCTGGCTAAATGTGGTTTTTCTTATTCTTATTCTTATTCTTACCTATTCTGGCTTCCAGCCAGCATTTACAAACAGACCTTCCTCGGGTGCTGAGCGTTTTTAATTAGGGAAAGTGAAAGTGGAGTCACACAAAAGGTTGTATCCATACGTAGAACCTGGAAAAAGTTAACGTACCTGTAGGTATGATGTGAAACTCGATTAAAACACGGGGTGGGATGTGGTTTTACAGGGAGGAATGGGAAGGAGGAGAGAGAGAGGGAGGAAGGTCGTGGCCCCACTCTCCAATATTCCCTAAGATGAGCAAGGAAAACTCTCCCTGCCCTTTCCCCAGGGATTAAAAATTCCCACTCTCAAATTCCTACAGTAGCCCCGAATCCGCAGATGATGCTGTTTCCCTCCTCGTCCCCCCTCGTCCCCCCCCCCCCCCCCT